AGACATGGAGCCATTGATCACTACCCGTTGAGCCCGACAATCTAGCCAGCTTTCTACCCACCTTGTAGTGCATTCATCCAGCCCATACTTCCTTAACTTGCTGACAAGAATACTGTGGGAGACCGTGTCAAAAGCTTTGCTAAAGTCAAGAAACAATACATCCACTGCTTTCCCTTCATCCACAGAACCAGTAATCTCATCATAGAAGGCGATTAGATTAGTCAGGCATGACCTTCCCTTGGTGAATCCATGCTGGCTGTTCCTGATCACTTTCCTCTCATGTAAGTGCTTCAGGATTGATTCTTTGAGGACCTGCTCCATGATTTTTCCAGGGACTGAAGTGAGGCTGACTGGCCTGTAGTTCCCAGGATCCTCCTTCTTCCCTTTTTTAAAGATTGGCACTACATTAGCCTTTTTCCAGTCATCCGGGACTTCCCCGGTTCGCCACGAGTTTTCAAAGATAATGGCCAATGGCTCTGCAATCACAGCCGCCAGTTCCTTCAGCACTCTCGGGTGCAACTCGTCCGGCCCCATGGACTTGTGCACGTCCAGCTTTTCTAAAAAGTCCCTAACCACCTCTATCAGAAGCATTCTCCTTCCCTTTGCCACACACAAGTTCAGGAATCTTTTCCTTCTTGCCACAGGTTTCCACCCCTTCAGTAGGTAACACAATCACATCACCTTCATGCTCTCCTTGTGCTCTGGCTAGGATTTCACCATGATTAGACAGAGTTGCTACACTGTTTCCCAACAACACACTAGCAACAGGCAAAATACAAGCACCAGAATTGTCTGGTCTCTGGGATTTTGCATAGACACTAACTGGATGCAACCTAGTTACAGGGCCATTCTCCCGAACAGACACAAACTTAGGACCCTTCCCTTCCTGGGCTTTAGCTGAATCCAGAACCAACTCTGAGACAACTGCACGACCCTCAACCATCACAGGCTGAAAGGCCCCTTCTGTCTGCTCCACGGACAAAGAAGAGCCAGACACACTTTCTCCTTTACCAGACACACAGCTTGGGATCTCATTCCCCTTGTCTCAGCACACAAGGCTGGTCACAGACAACTGCTTGGAGACCGGGGTAGCTGCCTCCATAGGCTACCCCTGACAGACACAGGCACATTTCCTTCACTGTCCCAATTCTCCACCCAGCTAACAGGTAAGGTCCAGGGACACTCATCTTCCACTCTCCTCGCCTTCCCACCCTGCTGACTAGACACAGCCATCAGCTCACAAGGCTGCCTAGGCTCATCCAAACTTTCCTTACCAAGCACCTTCCACTCCCAACAGATACCCTGCCTGTGTCTCCCCCCACTCAGCTGGGGTCTCAGCTTCCACTGTGCTCAGCGCTGCCCTTGCTGTCCCAGTGGGGGTAGGCAGCGAGCTTGCTGCTTTCCTCACTGCATCAGAGCCAGCATGAGCCCCCTCTCCGGTGTGCAAGGGGGCAGGGAGCATCTCTCTGTCCCACCCAGCCCCAGGGGTCTGGTTACCAGCAGGCAGGTAGCCTGAGCCTAGCGGCTCCTCCCCCCTGCCAGCCAGGTCATCTGCATTTTCACTGACCATTTCCCTCTCCACCAATTGGTTCCCTGGATTCAAATTCAAACCCTTGGCAAAAAGAAAAGGAGTATTTGTGGCACCTTAGAGACTAACCAATTTATTTGAGCATAAGCTTTCGTGAAGTGAGCTGTAGCTCACGAAAGCTTATGCTCAAATAAATTGGTTAGTCTCTAAGGTGCCACAAATACTCCTTTTCTTTTTGCGAATACAGACTAACACGGCTATTACTCTGAAACCCTTGGCAGTTACAGGAACAGGGCCTGGATCCTGTCCCAAAGAGACACAGTCACCCCACAACAGGGTCTCGCAGCTGGGGTCCTGGAGCACCCCAACGGCCAGCCAGCCCGACCCCTCCTGGGTTTGCACAGGGATCTGGGCCATAGGCAGGTCGAGGGGCTTCATCCCTGGGACCCTCACCCAGCTCACACAGCCCCTCAGTATCTGAGGCTGTACCACCCAGGGCCTGACAACAGTTCTCTCTGTCCCACGGTCTCGCCACCCCAGGAATGTCTCCTCATTGACCATCAAGTTCCGCTCCCACTGGGGGTCCGAGGGGCCTGGCCCCAGGAGACTCCACACAGACATATTGTCACGGAGTGTGGGGGAGTCCAGGCCCTGCACCCCTCTTCCTGGGATTCACTGAGACTCTCAGCCAGCCAGTAAAACGGAAGGTTTATTGGACAACAGGAACACAGTCCAAAACAGAGCTTGTGGGTACACCCAGGACCCCTCAGTCAAGTCCTGGGCTTAGACCCCAGCCCTGGGGGTTCCCTGCGTTCCTCCACCCAGCCCCAAACTGAAACTAACACACACACCCCAAGCAGGCTCTCTCCTGCAGCCTGTCTTCACATTCCTGGGCAGAGGTGTTACCTCCCCCTCCCCCTCCTGGCTCAGGTTACAGGCTCTCAGGTCTCCCATCCCCAGGGCACATTCCCAGGTCAACACTCCCCCCTCCCTGCTGCGTCACATCCTCACACATATAGGTTGGGGTCAGGAGTGGGAGCCTGTCCACCTCCCCACCCATCTGGCTGACGGAGTCTATGGCCTTGGGACCCAGCAAGGGAGCTAGACACTGGGGCTTTTCCGCAGGGTCCCCCTGGTTCAAATCGCCAGCCTGCTCAAAGGCAGTGAGGTGGCATCCACATCCCCCCACTCCTTAACTAGGGGCAGCAATTTAGTCTCGAGGTTCCCTGCAGAACTGGCCCCCCGGGGTCTATCCCCACTCACGCCTGGGAGGTCCCCTAGGCCTCTCCGCTCCCCCACCGCCAGTTCATGCTGCTGCTGCTTCTGCAGCTCTTTCTCGGGCTCTCGCTGTCTCTCACAGTCCTCTTGCTCTCTTGGACTCAGCTCCAATCCCGTCCGTCTCGATCCCCCGATGGGGAACCCGATCGTGAAGACCCTCGTCTGGTTGGGGACAGAAGTCTTGGGGATGTCTGGCTACCACTTCAGCTGCTCCCAGATCCTGCTATAGCCCCATTTGGGTCACAAATCTGTTCCTTAGAGTGGTCATCCTCCTCCAGCTGCACGATTAACTCTGCTTTGGTGAACTTTCCAATGCTCAACCCTCTCTTTTTGCACAGGGTTACAATGTCCTTCTTAAGGATATGGTGACAGGCCATCACTCCGCTCTTCCCAAGTTGTTGTGAACTCACAGGCCTGTGAACTCTCAGCTCCCCACAGTTTCCAGGGAGAACCCCTAGTGTGCCAGCCCTTCTCGAGGTCACCACCTCTTTGCCAGGGTTGAGCGGCAGACTCCTCCGCCCCTAGGACCGCTCGCTGCAATCCCCCGGGGGACCCTGTTACTGCAAAAGTTCTTCTCTCTGGTCACACACTCCTAGGGGTTAACCGCCCCCTGAAACTGTCTCTCTCTGAATCTTCAGCACGCCTGGTCCCCATCAATCCCCCTTCGTTTTACTGCTTCCCAGTCACTTACTGCAGGAAGTGCCCTCCATGGGATGCAGTAGATCCCACCGCTCCCACCAGTTGTCACGGAGTCCCCGGGCGATGCTCTGGAACTGCTCCCCATGAAGCCAGTCAGGACTCTGGGGAAGTCTCCTTTCTGTGAGCAGCCTGTCTGCAGGACACACAGCTCACACAGCTTCCACCTTCCTGGGTCTGACCTCGGAGCATTCAGCATCCTCTGCCCCTCCGTGCGCTTCCCACAGCGAGTCCGCCCAGGCGGGGCTCCTGGGGAAGCCAGAGGGTCCTGCCCCCCAACTTCGCAGTTAGACGTGACTCTCAGCCAGCCAGTAAAACAGAGGTTTATTAAACGACAGGAACATGGTCTAAAACAGAGCTTGTAGGTGCAGAGAACTGGACCCCTCAGCTGGGTCCATTTTGGGGGGGCAGTGAGCCAGACAACCACGTCTGCCCTTCACTCCATGTCCCAGCCAGCCCCAAACTGAAACTCCCTCCAGGCCCTCCTCCTCTGGGCTTTGTCCCTTTCCCGGGCCAGGAGGTCACCTGATTCCTTTGTTCTCCAACCCTTTAGCTCTCACCTTGCAGGGGGGAAGGGCCCAGGCCATCAGTTGCCAGGAAACAGGGTGTCGGCCATTCTCTGTGTCCAGATCCCTGCACGCACCTGCCCTCTAGGGCTCTGCAACGATCATACACCCTTATCCCACCACCTAGATACTTAAGAACTGCCTAGGGGAAACTGAGGCACCCCCACACTATTCAGAGGAATCATTAAGAACAGTCCCAGTTTGTCACACCCTCTGCAGCCCACAAGCTCCCAGAAGCCAAAGTTGAGACACAGCCCAGAACCCACCCTGCCAGCCCGCAGCCGTGCTCCAGCTCCTCAGACGCTAGCAGGCAAAGGGCTCCTGGCTCCTGCCTGCCTGGGAGCAGCCTCAAGTCCAGGTCGCATTGGGGCTCAGAGGACAGCTCCAGGACTGCTTGTCACCCAACCTGTCACCCTGGAGCTGGTTGGAGGGCCCAGGGGAGGCCCTGGCAGGGCTGCCAGAGTCCCAGCTGCTTTCTCCCTGTCCTCTGGGCCCTGACTGCTAGACCGAAGCTCTCTCTCCGGCCCGGGTTAAACTTCCCCGAGACCCTGTGACGCTGGGTCTCTGACAGCGACCTGTTGGGAATCGTGCCCCATCGTGCTGGGTGCTGCAGGGGAGCCTTCTTGGACAGGGCTACGGGAGCTGGCGTCTGGGGCAGGGATTTTCCCTCCCCACTGCCTTAACCAGGACATTTTCCTGGGCCTCAGTTCTCTGAGGCAGCACAGCCCAGTGGCTGGATCCCAGGCCTGGAAGCCAGGACTCCTAGTGCTCTCCCCGGGTTGTCACTCAGTCACTGCAAGTTCTGGAGGGAGTCTAGTCCCGTCTCCGTGGGCTGCAGCTGGCCCGCCCCTGGGGACGCTGCATTTGTGCTGTGTGGGGGGCACAGAGTCCCCTCTTCACCCTGGCCCTGCTCTCACCCTCGTTCTCCCCAGCATCGTCTTCTGGTTTGGGGACCTCAACTTCCGCATCGAGAGCCTAGACATCCGCTTTGTGAAGTACGCCATCGACAACAGCATCCTGAGCCAGCTGTGGGAGAAGGACCAGGTGAGAGGCCGTCCGGGCAGGTGCATCCCACGTGGCAGGTGCTTGCTTCCTGTGCGTGTTCGGCTCTGAGTTAACGCTCGGTGGTGCTGAAGGGGGGCCGGCAGATACTCTTCTGCTTTCCTGCAGCCCCACATGCTAGGTGCTGAGGGCGACATGGGGCTGAGGAGCCAGCACCTCCCTGGGGCAGATATGAAAATCCAATCCCTTGTGCCCCCCGCTGGGGGGGCAGGGAGAGCTGCTCCCCCGGGGAATGAAAATCCCCGGCTAGGGCCCACAGCTCTTGGGGACGGGGAGGGCAAGAGGCTAGAAAAGCTCCTTCCTCCTAACCCGGCTGCTGCCAGCCCAGAGCCCATGGGGCATGAAGGGCAGACGTGCCCCTGAGCTTGGGAGAGAGGTTCCCTGGAGCCCAGCTGCCTCCATGACCCCGCCGCAGAGTCCCCTGGAGTGGGGCAGCGTTGCTCCCCCGCCTACTGCCTGTCACGAAGTCCCTGGGCGATGCTCTGGAACTACTCCGTACAAGGCCAGTCAGCGCTCTGAGGGAGCCTCCTCTCTCTGAGCAGACTGTCTCCAGGGCAAGAAGCTTCCACCTTCCTGGGTCTGACCTCAGAGCATTCAGCATCCTCTGCCCCTCCGTGCGCTTCCCACAGCGAGTCCACCCAGGTGGGGCTCCTGGGGCAGCCAGAGGGTCCTGCACCCCAACTCCGCAGTCAGACGTGACTCTCAGCCAGCCAGTGAAACAGAAGGTTTATTAGACGAAAGGAACACAGTCTAAAACAGAGCTTGCAGGTACAGAGACCAGGACTCCTCAGACAGGTCCATCTTGGGAGGCAGGGAGCCCAGAACCCCATCTGGGCCTCCCTCCATTTTCCCAGCCAGCTCCAAACTGAACTCTCCAGCCCCTCCTCTGACCTTTGTCTCTTTCCCAGGCCAGGAGGCCACCTAATTTCTTTGTTCTCCAACACCTTCAGCTGGCACCTTTGCAGACGAGGGGCCCAGGCCATCAGTTGCCAGGAGACAGGGTGTCGGCCATTCTCTGTGCAGACAGCATCACACTGGCCTTCTAGGGCTCTGCAACAATCACACACCCTTATCCCCCCACCTAGATCCTTAAGAAATGCATACAGGAAACTGAAGCACCCACACAGTATTCAGAGAAAACATTAAGAACATTCCACTTTGTCACGCTGCCCTGCAGTGATGTGGCCACCCTGTGTTCTTGCTCCATGAACAAGGTAAAGTCACAGTGCGGAATCCCCCTTAGGAAGAGATTGACGGGGGCCGGGAGGCTGGGAGGGGGTTTGTAAGAGGGTTGGGTTCTGGGGCTGCTCAGGAAAGCGATGTGCAAAGTGCCTCGTTCCTCCCTCTCTGTCTGCTCCCTGGGGTGTGGCTCACAGCTACTTTAATCCCGTCCCGTTCGCCCTGCAGGGCCAGTGGGGTGTGCGGGAGCTGGGGCCCAGCCTGGCTTGTGCATCGACAAGGGAATTGCTCCCTGCATTCCCAGTGCACAATCTCTGTGGTTGATGCACAAGCCCAGCATGACTCTCAGAGCCTGGAGGGAGCGTGGGGGCTGAGACAGGGGAGACGTGTCTCTGCACTGATGGGCTCTAAGGTTGATGCGAGGCTGTAATTGCTGGGCTCTGGGCATGCGGCCCGCACGGGGGCCCTGAGCCCCGTGGGGCTGCACTAAGGCTGGGCAGAGAGCACAGGAGCCGCCTGGCACTCCTAGAGGTTTGTGCTTGGGGCAAAGTCCTCCCAGCCTGGCCTGTGTTGCCGGGAGCTGCGGGGACATATTTGCATGAGGATCTGGATCTTGGCGCCTGCCAGGGCCGGATTGACCTTTTGTGGGCCCGGTGCCAAACTTATTTGTGGGCCCCCAGGGGGGCAGTGGAGCATGGCACAGGGAGGTCAGTCCCCAGAGCCAGGGGCCAACCAGGGGCAATGGGGCATGGCATGGCAGGGGCGGCCCAGCTCCACCCAGCCCAGTGCGAGGGCACTATTTACAAACTGGTAGTTGCCAGACACACAGTGGCCCGCCCCGCCCTGTGCTGCCAACATGCCCCTTCCCCTTGGGGGGCGGGCCCATGCCGCACCACACAGCCCCCCTCCCGCCCAACTGTCATGGCGTCCCTGGGCGATGCTTTGGAACTACTCCACATGAAGCCAGTCAGAACTCTGGGGGAGCCTCCTCTTTGTGAGCAGCCTGTCCCCAGGGCAAGAAGCTCACACAGCTTCCACCTTCCTGGGTCTGACCTCGGAGCATTCAGCATCCCCGTCCACACCGTGCGCTTCCCACAGCGAGTCCACATAGGCGGGCTCCTGGGGAAGCCAGAGGGTCCTGCACCCCAACTTCACAGTCAGACGTGACTCTCAGCCAGCCAGTAAAACAGAAGGTTTGTTAGATGACAGGAACATGGTCTAAAACAGAGCTTGTAGGTACAGAGACGAGGACCCCTCAATTAGGTCCATCTTGGGGCGCAGGGAGCCCAGAACCCCATCTGGGCCTCCCTCCATTTCCCCAGCCAGCTCCAAACTGAAAACTCTCCAGCCCCTCCTCTGGCCTTTTTCTCTTTCCCAGGCCAGGAGGTCACCTGATCTCTTTGTTCTACAGCACCTTCAGTCAGCACCTTTGCAGGGGAGGGGCCCAGGACAACAGTGTGACAAAGTGGGACTGTTCTTAATGTTTTCTCTGAATATTGTGGGGGTGCCTCAGTTTCCCCTATGCAGTTCTTAAGTATCTAGGTGGTGGGATAAGGGTGTATGATCGTTGCAGAGCCCTAGAGGGCAGATGCGTGCAGGGGTCTGGACACAGAGAATGGCCGACACCCTGTTTCCTGGCAACTGATGGCCTGGGCCCTTCCCCCCTGCAAGGTGAGAGCTAAAGGGTTGGAGAACAAAGGAATCAGGTGACCTCCTGGCCCGGGAAAGGGACAAAGCCAAGAGGAGGAGGGGGTGGAGAGAGTTTTGGGCTGGGTGGTTGAATGCAGGGAACACCAAGGCTGGGGTCTAAGCTCCCTGCCCCCTAGAAGGACTTGACTGAGGGGTCCTGGTTGTACCCAAAAGCTCTGTTTTAGACTGTGTTGCTATTGTCCAATAAACCTTCCGTTTTACTGGCTGGCTGAGAGTCATGGTGAATCCCAGGAAGAGGGGTGCAGGGCCTGGACTCCCCCACACTTTGTTACAATCAGTTGCCAGGAGACAGGGTGTCGGCCATTCTCTATGTAGACACCATCACACTGGCCCTCTCGGGCTCTGCAACAATCACACACCCTTATCCCCCCACCTAGATACTTAAGAAATGCATAGGGGAAACTGAGGCACTCACACAGTATTCAGAGAAAGCATAAAGAAAATTCCCACTTCATCACACCAACACCCTCTGGCCAGAACCCCACCAGACCCACTGTGCCCAGCGCCCCCCCCAGACAAATGCATAGCGCCCTGCACAACACCACCCCTGTCCAGTGCCCCCCTGCCCACAGCCCCCCCACAACTGCCAAGCACCCCCCCACAGAACCCCACTCCCTAGTGCCCCAACATACACCTCTTCCCTGCCCCCTCCCAGCCCAGCAGTGCCCCCGCAAGTAACCCACTCCCCCACGCCCTGCCTTCTGGCCGCACTCACTGGCCCTGCTGGGAGGCGACTGTGTTTGCCGGGCTGAGCCCCCGGCAGTGCAGCCAGGGCTGGTCCTGGGGTGGGGAATTGCTCTGGCCCCACAGGAGTGGTGTGATCAGCCAGGCCAGGGCCTGCCCCGGCTGGGCTCCTCAAGACGCACTTCCCCTTCAGGGACCCAGCCAAGCTTCCCACACGGTCCCCAGCTGAGACGGGCCAGGCTTTTGCACCAGTCATAGAATCATAGAATATCAGGGTTGGAAGGGACCCCTGAAGGTCATCTAGTCCAACCCCCTGCTCGAAGCAGGACCAATTCCCAGTTAAATCATCCCAGCCAGGGCTTTGTCAAGCCTGACCTTAAAAACCTCTAAGGAAGGAGATTCTACCACCTCCCTAGGTAACGCATTCCAGTGTTTCACCACCCTCTTAGTGAAAAAGTTTTTCCTAATATCCAATCTAAACCTCCCCCACTGCAACTTGAGACCATTACTCCTCGTTCTGTCATCTGCTACCATTGAAAACAGTCTAGAGCCATCCTCTTTGGAACCCCCTTTCAGGTAGTTGAAAGCAGCTATCAAATCCCCCCTCATTCTTCTCTTCTGCAGGCTAAACAATCCCAGCTCCCTCAGCCTCTCCTCATAAGTCATGTGTTCTAGACCCCTAATCATTTTTGTTGCCCTTCGCTGGACTCTCTCCAATTTATCCACATCCTTCTTGTAGTGTGGGGCCCAAAACTGGACACAGTACTCCAGATGAGGCCTCACCAATGTCGAATAGAGGGGAACGATCACGTCCCTCGATCTGCTCGCTATGCCCCTACTTATACATCCCAAAATGCCATTGGCCTTCTTGGCAACAAGGGCACACTGCTGACTCATATCCAGCTTCTCGTCCACTGTCACCCCTAGGTCCTTTTCCGCAGAACTGCTGCCTAGCCATTCGGTCCCTAGTCTGTAGCTGTGCATTGGATTCTTCCGTCCTAAGTGCAGGACCCTGCACTTATCCTTATTGAACCTCATCAGATTTCTTTTGGCCCAATCCTCCAATTTGTCTAGGTCCTTCTGTATCCTATCCCTCCCCTCCAGTGTATCTACCACTCCTCCCAGTTTAGTATCATCCGCAAATTTGCTGAGAGTGCAATCCACACCATCCTCCAGATCATTTATGAAGATATTGAACAAAACCGGCCCCAGGACCGACCCTTGGGGCACTCCACTTGATACCGGCTGCCAACTAGACATGGAGCCATTGATCACTACCCGTTGAGCCCGACAATCTAGCCAGCTTTCTACCCACCTTATAGTGCATTCATCCAGCCCATACTTCCTTAACTTGCTGACAAGAATACTGTGGGAGACCGTGTCAAAAGCTTTGCTAAAGTCAAGAAACAATACATCCACTGCTTTCCCTTCATCCACAGAACCAGTAATCTCATCATAAAAGGCAATTAGATTAGTCAGGCATGACCTTCCCTTGGTGAATCCATGCTGGCTGTTCCTGATCACTTTCCTCTCATGCAAGTGCTTCAGGATTGATTCTTTGAGGACCTGCTCCATGATTTTTCCAGGGACTGAGGTGAGGCTGTCTGGCCTGTAGTTCCCTGGATCCTCCTCCTTCCCTTTTTTAAAGATTGGCACTACATTAGCCTTTTTCCAGTCATCCGGGACTTCCCCCGTTCTCCACGAGTTTTCAAAGATAATGGCCAATGGCTCTGCAATCACAGCCGCCAATTCCTTCAGCACTCTCGGATGCAACTCGTCCGGCCCCATGGACTTGTGCACGTCCAGCTTTTCTAAATAGTCCCTAACCACCTCTATCTCCACAGAGGGCTGACCATCTCTTCCCCATTTTGTGATGCCCAGCGCAGCAGTCTGGGAGCTGACCTTGTTAGTCCCAGATGGCTCAGCTCTGGGGAGACGGGGGGCCCCACTGGTGGTGGGAAGCAGTGACTGCCCGGAGCCGGAGGTGCCCTGGGGTCCGGGCAGGGGGCAGAGAGGAGCAGGGGGGTGGGGCTGAGGAGGCCGCAGGTGGGAAGGCCAAGAGGAGCAAGTGGTGGGAGCCCTTCTGAGCATGGGCCCGGCTCCATGGAGCCACTGGAGCCATTGTAACCCGGGACTGCCGCCTGCGTCCGTGCTCTCAGCTGGGGCTCCAAGGGCAGGAACAGGTGCTGGCTGAGATCCCCAACCCTGAGTCTGCAGCGGCTCAGCCGGTCCTCCCCTGCACTCCAGGGAATGGCCACTGGGGCTCCCCAGGGCAGGCGTTAATGGGGCTGCCCCCAAAAGAGGATGAAGGGGGGAGGGGAATCACCAGGGCCATGGCTCCACTGAAGCCCAGAGCTCAACTCCAGCAACGCCCAACCCCAAGCCCCTCCCCAAGTAGGGTGACCAGATGTCCCGATTTTATAGGGACAGTCCCTATTTTTCGGTCTTTTTCTTATATAGGCTCCTATTACCCCCCACCCCCGTCCCGATTTTTCACATTTACTGTCTGGTCACCCTATCCCAAAGCCCAGGGCCAGCAGCTGCGTTCCCTTCCTTGGAGTGGGTCAGGAGCTGGGGGGCTGCAGGGGCTGGAAGGGAGGCCTGTGTGAATTGCACTGCGGGCTGACCCTGCCAATGTCTGTCCATTCCCCTTGATCCCCTCTCCCAGCTGAACATTGCCAAAGGCACCTGGCCCATCCTGAGCGGCTTCCAGGAGGGGCCCCTCAACTTCCCGCCCACTTTCAAGTTTGACGTGGGGACCAACCAGTATGACACCAGGTAGGGGTGCAGCGCGAGTCACTTGCCTGCCACGGGGAGGGAGAGGCTGAGGAGAAGACTGGGGGGCCTAGCTGTGAGAGTGGGCACTGGGTGTCTTGAACTCTGGACCTGGGGTACCATTCTCCTCATTGCAGGCTGCTGGCGTTTGGCTGGGGGACACAATACAAGCAGGGAGTAGAAGCAGCTTCTGCATGGGGGCTGGGAAAGGGGCTCCAGAATGGGAGGCATAGGGCGGGCACACCCGTGGGGGGGAGGATATGGCAGGATACATCAGCACCGGGAAATAGGGACAGGCAGAGGATATGGGTGGCTGTGTCGGCTTGGGGGGCATAGGGATGGGCGGAGGGTACAGGTGGCCGTGTTGGTGCGGGGGGCATAGGGATGGGCTGCCGTGTCAGCGCGGGGGGGCATGGGGTTTGTTATGGGGGAGGCTGCAGTAGCCATGTTGCCAGGGAGTCCCTGCAGTTGCACCAGGGAGCATGCCCAAGATGTGCTCCGTTCCCCTCCCCCAGGGCCTGCGCCGGGGAGGGGGGCGGTTTGCGGGGAGACCCCTTTGCCCTGTGCCAGCTGAACGGTGCCCACCTGTGCCACGCAGCGCCAAGAAACGGAAACCAGCCTGGACCGACCGCATCCTCTGGAAGATCAAGTCCTGCGGCGCCCCGCACAACCCCGGCGGCCGGAGGCCCAGCAGGACTGTCCTGGCCGTGACCCAGCTCTGCTACTGCAGCCACATGGAGTATGTGGTGAGCGACCATAAGCCTGTGGCTGCCATCTTCGCCGTGCAGGTGAGTCAGTCTGGCCACGGTCCTGAGGGCCCAGCCCCTCGACAGAGGTGCTTGACAGCATTGGCAGAGCTTCCCCTGCAGGGGTGCGGCTGCCCCCGCTGATGCCCTGTGCTTCTCCATGGCAGTTTGCCTCCAAGACCGACAAGCCTTTGGTTGAGATTCAAGTGGCCGACGAGTGGTCAAGACCCGAGCAAGCCATTGTCCGATACAAGATGGCCACCGTCTTCCACAGGAGCTCCTGGGACTGGATAGGCCTCTACCGGGTAAGGGGCTGTGCTGTAGCTGGGGCTGAGTGCCAGAGGGGCAGGGTGTGGGGCCCTCCTGTGGGTGCTCCTGGCCTCTCGGCTGGGTCCTTCCCTGGCTGCTGCTTGGGCATGCAGGGGGAGGGGGTGGCTGGCGGTGTGAGGGGGAGCAGGTCCAGATGGCTGGGGGATGGCAAGCAGGCAGGCAGGTGTCCCCTGGAAGTGGAGATGGAGGGTGTGGGCTCCACGGGGCTCCTCCCTCCCTAGCCCCCAGAGTCCCACACCACAAAAGAGCTGTATCCTTACCCCTTCTCCCCGCTCAGGGCAGTAGCTCCCACCCCATGTCTGTGCAGTCAGCAATCTTTGAGCAGGTGAATGGGGAGCGCTGCAAGGCTAGATGCCTGTTACAGGGGTGCCCTGGGGTTAGTTCCCTCTTGAGGGGCAGAGCTGTCCTGTGGGAGCACCGGCTTTGCCACTCTGAGCCAGGCTGTCCAGCCTTCCTAAGCGGCTACTGCCTGCTGCCCTTTCCCTTCCTGATGGGGCGAGCTGCCCATGGCCTGAAGTGGGAGAGCCGACTCCCCTGGTGCTGACATCCCTAGCTACAGTGCTGCTCTGTACCACATGGCGAGCCACCGCCCCTTGGCAGCCAGCTGCAGTGTGTGCCAGGGCTCTGCGAGCATGGACCCAAGGTGAGCCCCGGCGAGCTGCAGGTGTCCTTGGCACTGTGCAATCGGCTCACAGGGTAAGCCTTTCTGGAGCAGCCTGCATCTCACCTGGGTGTCTCCTTACAGCTGAGGGAGGGAGGGAGGGCCTCCAGCGCAGGAGCCAGGCAATGTGACTTTCAGATCCCCCTGTGCCAAGCTGGGGCTGCAGGGGAGGCTCCCATGTGCTGCGCTGCAAACCTGATCCCCTGGCAGAGAGACTCCAGCAGCCTGCAGGGATCACGCGTCGCCCTACACCCCTCTCCAGGATCTCTGTTTCCCATGTGGGGCCAGCCTCTGCTCCCTGGGCCCTGCTGTCTAGGCCCCCGGCTTTCCTAGGCTCACTGAGCCAGGTTCTCCCCTGGGGTAACTCCCCTGGCTTCAGTGTGTTCACCCCAGGGAGGAATCTGGCCCCTCTTCCTAGCAGGGGCCATCCCTCTTCCCCTTGCCCCTGCTGCTAACTGGATTCCCCAGGGGCTTGCGGGTCCCCTGGGTTATAGCTGCCTGGCCGGGAGCTGCTGCGTGCCAAGGCCCCGCCCTGGGTGCCGCTGCGATGGGGCCATGCAGCCGGGAGGGTTGGGGGGACATGTCTGGGGCAGAGCCTGGTCTTCGCTAACAGCTCCAAATTGGGGCACTGCTGCTATGGCAGGAGCCTGGATGGAAGTGACAGAGGGGATGCGTCCCCCCACCCCCAACGCCCACTGGGCGAGCCCATGCCCCGCTAGCGCTCGGGGCTGGGGGGCTGGCCAGGGGCACCTGACCTGCCCTGTGGTGAGGAGAAGAGGCAGTCACCTGGGTCATCCTCGGTTCCTGGATGCCCAGCCGGGGACTGGGGAGTGGGCTGGGGGGGCGAGCGCCTCCGGCTCCGGTGACTCGTGTTGTGCCCAAAGGGGTGTCTCACAGTGCACTATTTGTAAATGGATTGGGAGCCCCCAGGGCTGGAGAGGAGAGCCCCTCGTAGCTCCGAGCCCAGAAGGTGCATCCAGGACGAGCCCTGGGGCGTTCAGAAAGCTCAGGACTTTGGGGCTGTGGCTGGTGGTGGTGGGTGGGGTGACCAGTGGGTGCCTGCAGGTGCTCAGCACCTCTGAAAATTTGACCCTGTGTGTCTTAAATGGAGCCCCCAGATCAGGCCGGGTTGTTGGCAGAGGCTGGCTGGGAGCTGAGGGTTGGCTCGGGGGGTACGACCAGGCTGGGTTAGGGTAAGCATGCTCTGGGGTTAGGGGTCAGAATCGAGCACCTTGGGGTTAGAGGTCAGGGATTAGAGTTGGGCATGGTCCAGTGATGGGGTTGCGGTTGATGTCAATGGAGCATATTCTAGTGTGGCTGGGTTAGGGGGTCAGTGTTAGGTGCACACTGGTGGGGGTTGGGTCTTGTAGGTGAGTGTTATAGGGGTGGTGGGCAGGGTTAGGAGTCAGTGTGAGGCCCAGTGGTGTGGGCAAGAGCAGGGGTCAGCACTGGGCACTCTCTGGGTGGCTGGGGCCTGGTCCCATCTAGCTCTCCATTGGGACTTCTCTCCCTGCAGGTAGGCTTCAGGCACTACAAGGACTACGTGGCGTACGTGTGGGCCAAACAAGAGGACCCAGAGGGCAGTGTGTACCAGGTGTGTGAGCCCAGCCCCCGTTCATGGCCATGTACCCAGCTGGCCCCCGCTGGCTGCTCCTTTTGCCTCTGCTTCCCAAGTACTCCACTGAGCCCCACTCTCTTCCCCCCACAACAGTGAGCTAGCCCTCCCTGCTCTGCCAGCCAGGTGAGGGTCAGCCCCCGATAGAGCCTGGGGCTCTCGGGATCTCCCAGCCCATGGTGTCTTAGGGCAGCCTCCCTCCAGGCTGGGTGTAGCATGCAGCCCAGTGGGAGGCAGCCATTGTTAGCGGGACATCCTGCACCAGAGGGGAGTTGTGCTGGGGGCCACCAGGTGTGTGTGTGGGGAGGGGGGAGCTGGAGAACCAGCACCGGCCAGAGGCCAGAGGCCAGGTGTGGGGCTTTAGAGCTTGTAGGACAGTCCAGGGGCTGGATCGGTGACTAGAGAGACAGCCACATGCCCAGTTGAACCAGCCCCTCATAGCATGGAGACAGCCCCTGCCATGTGGGTAGATGATCACACAATCCCATGCAAGCCACTGGACGGCCTGGAGCCTGGACTCCATGCCACAGCAGGAGCCAGGCCGTTGCCAACGGCTGCCGGTGGCGGTGATCTGCCTGGGTGCCAGGCTCCCTGCGCCTGTTGGAATATGCCCTGCTTCCAGCGAGCCTTTGGCCTCTCGGAGCGCCGGCTCTCCGACTAGTGCCACGTCCTCTCCATTTGCCAGCTCTGCGTTCGCCTGTCCCCTTAGAAACGCCCTGGGGCACCACATGTCCTTCCTGGGTATGCCAGGGGCACTGTGATGGGCCCGCATTTGAGCTACCCCGCTGGGTGCTCTGCCATGCCAGGGGTGGGGGAGGGACGGGTGGATTGCAGGGCCCATCTTGTGTGGCTGGCAGGGCCTCTGATGCCCCCTCACTCTCCCCGGGGCTGTAGGTGGTGTTTTCGGAGGAGGCGCTACCCAAAGGGAAGGGCGAATACATTCTCGGTTACTACGGCAACAACTACAGCAGCATCACTGGGGTGACAGAACCCTTCCAGGTGAGCAGCTTCCTGCTGGGCACGTCCGCAGGGGGCAAGGCACATTGGGGGGCACCATGCAGGTGGGGATGGGGAGTGCAGGGCAGGGGCTGCTGTGCAGGGTACAAGGGAATCACGGTGGGGGAGAAGAGATGGAGGGTGACAGGGAGGGGAGTTCTGGGGGTGTGAGCTGAATGACATGGGGGTTCTTGGGGCCTCATGGTGCCAGCTGCTGCCCAGAAGCTGGGCTGGCCTTGCCCCAAATGCGCTGTGACATGTCTATGCCCCCCCCCCTTCCACGGCAGCTGAACCCTCGGTGTGGGGAGGTGAGGGGCAGGAGAGAGGGCGGACTGTCCCGAGACACCCCCTCTCCTCACGCACTCCCCATGGGGCAGCACCAGCCTTGTCTCCCCACTGACTGTCTCTGTGGGCGTGCAGATCTCGCTGCCCACGTCGGAGGACGGCAGCAGCCAGACAGACAGCTCGAGCACCAGCTCCGAGGAGGAGGACAACAGCACCCTGGTCCTGCTGGCGCCCAAGTCCCGCAGCCCCAGCCCTGGCAAGATGAAGAGCCACCGAAGCCGCAGCCCCAGCCTCCCCAAGTTCCAGGGGCTCATCCTGAGGCCGATGAGCCACGAACGGGGGGCCAGCCGCAGCCCGTCCCCGCAGAGCCGACGCCCCCTGAAGGGCGACATCCCCAGCATCCAGCTGCCAAAGGAGGAGCTGCCCTGGCGCAACACCAAGAGCAAGGAGCCAGCGCGGGCTGCCGAGAGCCAGGAGAACAGCCGTGCCCCTGGCTACAGGACTGCGGGGGAGCCCTGCGGTGCCTGGTGCCTCTCTGACAACAACCCCCTGGCCAGAGCCAAGCCCAGGAACCTCGGCCTGCTGCCCGCGCTCCGCCTGGAGACTGTCGACCAGGCCATGGGCCCAAGGAGGGCGAGCGCAGACCAGGGCTACCCTGCCAGGAGGATGAGCCCCACCAGCCCCACCACTGGGGCCGCCAATCTGTTCAGCACCTCCCCCAAGGAGGGGAGCAGCTCCAGGGACAGCCAGGACCCTCTGCCAGCTGCAGCCACTGGAGTCACTCAGGGCCGAGCAGCTGGCACTGGGCAGTGAATGCTGGGCCTGGCCACTTGCAGTGACCCCGTGTAGAGCTTGCCGCGTTCTTCCCCGTGTGCTGCCTCTCTTGCCCACACTGGGCCACCCCAGGTGCTCTGTGATCCGTCCCTGCTGGTGTGATGTAGGCAACGGCCGTTAGCGACCCACACGCCCTGCCCAGGTCCAGGCATTGGCCACTGCACGGACACTGCTCCCCACACACACTCACTCACACTCACTCCCCACTCACACTCTGTGATCCGCCCGCCGGGTCCTGTAGTGTGAGTGTAGTGAGGCCCCAGCAGGGCCGCTGGGTCCATTCCTCCTGTTCGCTGTTCCAGTCGTGAAACCCTCCGCCCCAGGTTGTGTGCTTGGGCCCCAGCTCCGGTTCCATCAGCTGAGAGACGGCGCCTTGGGGCTGGGCTTGGCCAGCGCTTCCTGGGCAGCCTGGAGCACGGAGTCCATAGGGCATGAGCAGGGCCAGGGAGTCGGGACACTAGGTATGGCAGAGCCCATGGCAGCAGTCAGTGGCTATGCCAGGGGGATGTGGGCAGGGCTGGCAGCCTGGGGCCAAGAGGATGTGACTGGGGGAGCTGGTTGGGAGCGGCTGACATGACAGACCAAGCTGCGATCCAAGTCCTCCTTTCCTTTGCCGCACGGCTGGGCTGAGCCTGCTGCCCACCCCCACGCAGAGCAGGCTGAGGAAGAGGAGAGACAGTGGGACTGGCCCCATGGCCCAGACAACGTCATGGACAGGGAGGTGGATGCTGAGGAGCCTTCTGGGGGCCCAGCTACAGTCTCCAAGGGGGAGGGTGCCAGACACCCAGAAGGGCTGAGCGCTGGCCCCAGGGCTGCACAGGGAGCGTGTCAGGGTCACTCGGGGCAGTAGTGGTGGGGGCCCAGCTGAGGTTCCAGCTGGCGTTGGGTGCGAAGGGGTGGTTGGGGCACGGTGCGGTGCTGGGGGCACAGGGACAGCATCAGGGCAGATTAGAGCAGAGGGGGACAGGATGGAGCTGTGCAGCACAAGGAGAGGGGGGTCACTGACCCACAGCTGTTCACTCCACAGAGCCTGGCCTGGGTCTGCAGCACAAGTGCCCACGAGGGAGGGAAGAAACCAAAGCTGCCAGGGAGTGCATGGGCCTGGCTGCCCTGGGGCCCACGGCTCGGCAAGGGTCAGAGCCAACACACCATGTCCTACCACATTGCTGCTGATGGAATAAATGCCCCACCCCCAGGTGCCCCCCTGTGCTTTGATTTGCTGAACTGGTATGTGCAGGAGGGGCTGGGGCAGGGATGGCAGGCCTGGGGCTGGCTCAGCATTTGGATGGCATGGCTCAGGAGGGGGCACTACCCTAGCACTCAATGCCAGCCCCCGTGCAGCACCAAGGGGTGCCATGCTGCCAGGAGCCCCGAGGCCCCAGCTCAGCACAGAGAGTGCCTGTCCAAGCATGGTGCTAGTCACCGGTGGTCCCTGAAGGCTCCGCCCCAGGGAGCTAGTGCTGGTGGGTCACTCCATTCCGCCTCACCCGCTTGCCCTGCCTGGCCCTGTGCTGGGAGTGTAGGGGCAGGTGGCCATGCCCCCTGGGTCTGCCACTTGCTGCATGTGGGGGGACCCTGAGTGGGCCCCACCCTCAGCACAGGAGCTACAGGGGGACTGGAGCTGGCAGAGCAGAGTAGTGGTAGGAGGAGGGGCCCCAGGCAAGGTGTGGGGACCATGACTTCCCGCCTCTTAGCGGACAAGGATGTACCAAGGTCAGCTGCTGCCCCACTGCTGAGGCTCCCCTGAGCTGGGTGCCCCCACCCTGTGCTGCTCTCGGGGGGGGGGGAAGATGCTCAATGAGTGGCTGGCAGCTTGAAGCCAGTGCTGTTCCCGCCCTCCCCGGCGCAGTTTGGGCCCTAGGTGCTTTCTCTAGGTCCGGTCACCTCACCCCATGTGCAAAATAGCCCCCCCAGCTGCATGCGCACGCTGGGTCCCCTTGCCCCCGCCCCACGCATGCTGGCTCCCCTGCTCTGTGCTATTGCTGTGGATAAAATTAGCAACATTCCCCCAGGGCCATAAGGAATGTGCAGGGCGAGCAGCTGACTGGGCCACCTGCCCTTCCCGGGGAGCTGGGGGGTGGGAGAAGGGGCCACGGTCCCCTGCAGGCAGCCCTCCCCCCCCCTCCTCTTCTGTTGGGGGCCTGGGCAGGCTAGGGTACTGCAGAATGGGAGGGGGAGGGTACAGAACGAGGCGGGATGCACAAGAGGCTGATGGGACAGAAGTAGACCCCCACAGGCCCCGCAGGAGCAGGGGGCTGCTCGACCCACCCCGGCCTGGACCCCAGCAGCCCAGCCCAGCCCCAGCACACAGCCGGTGTGAAGGGAACCCTTTATTGCAGCCTTATTTACAGAGCAATGGCCCCAGCCCAAGCACGTTCGGGCCCAGCCCCCTCTGCCCCATGCCCGGCCAGAGGAGGGGTAGCGCTGGGGGAGGGCGGGGGGGGGCTGCAGCACTGGGGGGAAAGATGTAAAAAAAAAACAGGCTCTGTAGAAAAGTTGTCCCTGCAGTTGCCAGGGGCCGGCTCTGCCACAGGGCCGGGGGGCACTGCCCCCCCCCCCCAGGCAGGGCACTAACAGGCTCCCTCAGCAAGGCTAGGACCAGCACCCACCTCTTGACTCACCTCCCTCCTCCCCATAGCCTCGGGGAGGTACAGGAGGGTCCTCCTGCCTGTCGGGGTGGGGGGCACTGCTAGTGGCAGGGCCCCCCCACCGGCAGGGGATTCCCTGCAGCATGGGGCTGGTTTCCAGTGTCTTGCCCACCCCGGGGCTGCAGTCCTGAGGAGGTGGCGCGCCTGCCCCCATGGCAGAGCTTCAGGAAGTAGCATCCTGGACCTTCTCCCCAGAGGGCGTGTTCAAGGGACCCAGCTGGGACCCAGCCCTGGGGGTTGCCCCCTGAAGCAGGGCAGACAGCCCCTCCCCCGGACAGGGCTCCTTTGACCTTTGCACAGGACAGGATGCTCCCCAGGGGTGAACATGGAGTGGAGACAGTGCCGTGGCCTGGCCCCACAAGCATCACAGCTCCTGCCTGGGCTCTGTCCAGCCCACCCCACAGGACTGTGAGGCAGGGGGCAGCTGCACCATCAGGTGAAGGAGAGGGAGGGAACAGCCAAGCCTCTGTCCCAGAGCAGGCTGGGAGGGTCCTGTCTCCTTGAGATGCTCCCCCCCACCCCCCAGTGTCCATGCTGGAGGCTACAGGCTGCCCAGCCGGTCATGTCCAGCACAGTCAGTCTCCCAGCACTGCCGGAAGTGAGCAGGGGCGGGCTGGCCGCAGCGTCAGCTCCACGTTCCCCCTGCAGACAGGCCGGCTCCACGGTCCCACGTCCAGGCTGTGCCCTGGCCTCAGTGGGGCGTGGGGTGATGGTCTGACCTCCGGGCTGCCCTGGCCAGCTGGAGACACTTGTCGTAGAGCCTGGGGGGGCTGCCCTGTGCCTCCCACTCCTGCCGCTTGACCTTGACGGAGGCCGCGGGCCACACCTGCCACCGCCCCAGCGTGTTCTTCAGGTGCCATGCGGGCGCCAGGACGGCCCGGCCCAACCCGATACAGCTGGGAGAGAACAGGAGCGTGCTTAGTCCAGGGATCGCCAGGCCACTGGCACCATGGGAGGATCCCAGCCCTCGGCCCATGGGGGAATCAACCCCTATGGGGCTGAGGAGGGAGGAAGGCAGGGGCCCAGATCCCCCAGTTCCACCCTGCTCCCGTGGGCCCATAGGGGCATGCTGTAGGGAGCTGAACTGAGCCTCTTCTCTTCCAGCCTCCCATGGCCTCTAAGCCTGGGCACTCCTCCCAGCCCCCCTGCTTGGCCAGCCTGCCCCATGTGCCCCACTCAGGCTGTGCCTTCTGCCAGATCCCACCATGACACTGCCGCTGTTAATGACGGAGTGCTGCCAGGCAGCTCTGGGGCAGGGAACTGGAGCCGCGAGGGGCAGGGGGCTGGGCAGGGGAAGGGGCTCCTCCAAGTGAGCACCTGCCCTCGCCCCTGCTCCAGGTGGGGAAAGGGCCCCGAATGCCCACGGCACTGCATGGGGGCCCTCAATGCTAGCGGTGCCCCCAGCCTGGCCCTCCACTACACAGGGGATCCAGGCTCCAAACCCTCCCGCCCTCTCTATGCGCAGGGTGATCCTGTGCTGCCACCCGGTGGTGAGAAAGCCACATTGCAAGCCTAGCCTGGGCTGCCCCCTTCCAGCACTTCCATGGGGATCTTCAAGCAGATGTAGAGCCCAAACCAGGCAGCACCCACGTACCAGCATAGGGGACCTCCCCACAACACCAGACTGGGAGCCCAGGCTGCAGGGGACTCCATGCCACCTTTCTCCCACCCTGGGACTCTGAGCCCCAGCCCAGGGCACGGAGGCTCTGAGCCTGGTGGTGATGTTGCACTCACTTGGGCTGCTGCTCCCCATCGGCACAGCCCCTGGGCGGCTCCAGCACGAAGCAGGCCGTGGAGATGAAGTCGGACAGAACCTCCTCCTCCACCTCATTGGGGCCCTTCGTCCTGCGCAGGAACCGCGCCAACCTGTGGGGACAGGCACAGCTCACAGCGGGACCCCACTGGGGGCAGAGAGGCAATGCTGGGCAGGGGCCAGCGCCCCTCCAGACATGCGCCAAGCGCCTCTGCTCCTGCAGAGTCCCCAGCACCTCCACCCCATCCTTCCCCCTCACCCGCTGCAGAGAGCGCCTGGCCCAGTCCCTGGGAGCCAGGGTTAGCTTGGGCAACCGTGGGAAGGAACAGGCCCAGTGTCAGGCCCTTGGCCCCTCACTCCGTACACCAATCAGAGCAGAGCTAGCCAGTGCCAGTCCCAGCACCGGGCACCCACCCAGCTGCACCCCAAAGGGCGTGGGGCTCTAGAGGGGGCCCCACTGCCTGAGGAAGTGGTACGCACCTGCGGGTGCAGTTGCAGTGGAACAGGGTGCGGGAGTCTGGGTTGCGCAGCTGGTACTTGACCTCATGGGGCGCGATCTTGTGCTCACACTGGTCAAGGCGCCGGTAGCATCCACAGCTCCTTCCTGGGGCTGGGGGGAGGGAGTTGGGCTCGGGGTCAACTGAGGCACATCACTCGGCCCCCCCCCCCAGCGGGTCAGGGGCCCAGAAACTCTACCCAGGGCCTCGGTATGCACAATGCTGTGCCAAGTGCCACGGGCACCCAAGCTCTGCGCACACACACCATGGGCATGGGCAGTCTCTGGGCGTTCCCCTGCAGAGCATGCCACCCCCGAGAACCCATGGCAGCCCCCCCCCAGCCCCCTCTGCTCCCCCGCCCTCGTGCCCAGAGCCCTCACTCACCCCGGTGGCTCAGCTTGGGCGGGTGCAGTCTGGGGGTGCGGTGTGGCTCCAAGGCTGGGGGGAGTGGCGAGTTAGTCCTTTGGGCAGGGCGCGCTGAGTCCCTGTCCTGGGGCTGCCCTGCCCCCTCCATTCTAGCCCCACCAGGGGGTGGGTGCTCAGTCTCTGGTGTGGGGCCCTGCTCGGAGGCCCTCGTTGTAAGGGGTGGTGACTCCTGCCCCCCCCGGGCTGGGACACGCCTGTGTGGGGTGGTGGCCGCATCCTCAGCAGGGGCAGGGGGCAGCGTGCCCAAGCCCCTGCGTGGGGGGGGCGTGACAAGCCTTTGATCTTCTCTGGGGCTCTGTGACCCCTGGGCCCCATCATCCTGCCCAGGCCTCTTCCTGTTCTTCCTCTGGTGCTTCCTGCCCCGCCTGGCGTTCTTCTTGCCCTTGCCCGGCGGGTGCGGAGCAGGGCTGGCCGTCTCCCCCTGGGGCAGGCCATAGTGGTACTGGCTTTGCTGCACCATCCGGGCCATGGCTACGGGGCCATAGCGTTTACACCTGGGAGCAGAGGGGGAGTGAGACAAGGCAATCCCCCAAACTCCCACTCCCTCCAGGGCTGGGCTGCTGGAGCTCCTGACAGCCATGTCCTGGCTGGCACCGTGCCCCCATCATGTGGGAGTGCCGGGGCGGAGCTGACTGGCTCCGTCCCACCTGCCAAGTCGTGCCACCTGCAGCAGCCAGTCAGGGAGCGGGACACACCCCACCGGTGCCCAGCTGCTTGGCCACAGCACACCCTCCCCCACCCAGGGCCAGCCAGGCAACCCACAGCCTTCCCAGAGCCTGCCCTGGCCGAGCAAGGGAGCCACAGCCTGGGGCCAGTACACGGCCATGGACACCGGCAGTCTATGTCCAGCGGGAGAGATGGGGTGACAGAGGCCTCCTAAACCCAGGGCTGTGAGTTCAATCCTTGAGGGGGCCACTCAAGGATCTGGGGCAAAAATTGGGGATTGATCCTGCTTTGAGCAGGCGGTTGGACTAGATCTCCTGAGGTCCCTTCCAACCCTGATATTCTATGAAAGAGGCAGCCCAGGGCAGGAGAAGGGCCAGGTTCTCTGCCGGGCACGCTAGCCCGGCAGCCCTGCGAGCTCTGCAGCGATCGCCCACACACTGGATGGCAGCAGAGCCTAGGACCCCCACCGGCAGGGCTGGGTTCCACCATAGGCCCCCTGCCCACTATCTGCCCCCTGCTGACCTATCTGCCCCCTGCTGACCTGTCTTTCCCCCGTTCCCCTCCACCATTAGAGGACAGTCACCTGGTAGAGTCCCCATGTGCCCCGCACCCCACCACCAGCCAGAACCGCAGGGGACACCCTGTGCTGGGCGAGTCTGTCCCTCCCTTCCCATCCCGCCCCGAGTCCTGGGGCTCCCTACCACCTTGGCACGGTGCCGCGAGCAGTCTGGCTGAGACCCTGCCTGGCTGGAGAATCACTTCTAGAGATGTCTTGAGTTCAGTGACCTCACCGCACTGCCAGGGCAGGTGGCGGCTCCGCCATCCCCAGCCGGTGCCAGGCCTGTCTCTGCTCCACAGCTCGCCAGAGGCAGTGTCCGTCCTATTCCTGCGCTGTCTCCCACACCTGAGCCAACCCTGCTCCCGCCGGTACGCCCATGGCCGCTCCATGCGGTCTGGCAGGATTCGGGATGTCTGATGAGCTGACGTGGAGTCATGGGGCACCTCCTGAGAGCCCCTGGGAAGCTGATCTCTGCGCCCCATCACGTGGCAGCAGGCTCTCAACCCCAGGAGCACCCTGGAGAGGAGCCCGCGGTGTAGGGGTGGATGGGAATGCTGCCCAGCTCCGGTTCTACCTTCAGTGCCTTCAGCACTGCTAGCAAAGGGCATTGCAGGGACACACCAGTGAGAAACCTGGCACAGCCCCCTCTCCAGTGACGCAGTCAGGAGCCCGGCCTGCTGGGCGCAGTGCCCAGAGACGCTTCCCTGAACCTTGGCTTGGGGAAATCGGCTGCAACTCCAGCCTGCCCCGCCTGACGGCCCTGGTGTCAAAGAGCCCCCCTGAGAAGCTGGGCATGGTTCTGTGAGCAGGGTCAGGGGCTCAGGACCCTGCATGGGTACTCACCCTCCCCACCAGTGCCAGTCCACACATGCTTCGCTCTCCTCCAGCACGAAGCACGGGACCTCCAGCAGGTTGAAGAAGGTGATGCCGACGATGTTGGAGATGGTGTCGTTCAGCTCCAGCAGGCACTGCTTGAACCTACAACCCAGCGAGGGGTGTCAGAGCCGCGGGCTGCGCAGTACAAGGGAGCCAGCCTGGATGCTGGCAGGCGGGTGAGGAAGGGCTGGCTCAGAGACGAAGGGCACAAGGCGGGCAGCGGGGGCAGAGAAGGGACTGCAGAGGAGCCCTGCTGCTGTCCAATCCCAGCCCCCTCCCACGCTGAACCCCTGGTTAGCGGCTCTGTTGGGCATGCGAGGTGACAGCGACAGGCCCCCGCACAGCCCGTGATCCAGGAGTCGCCAGGGAAAGGGGCAGTCGGGGTCTGCCGGTGTCTCCATGGGACCTGGGGAGTTGAGTCGTTTCCAGCCAGCCTCCCGCTGGCCCTGGACACTGGAGCAGGGGTGGGCCCTCTGGAGCCGCACAGCTGTGGGTGGGGCTGGGGGCTCCCAACCAGGCTGTGCAAAATGGGCAGAGGCAGGCCTCACTGCCCCCAGCTCTGCTGATGCTCCTCAATCCTGACTCAGAGCCCCACCACTCTAGGCATCTCCTGAGCCCAAAGTGCCAATGCTGGTGCCTGGGTGGGTTTGCGATACAGACAGCCCCCAACTTCTCTGCCCTGGGGAGCTGGTGCAGCACCAGGCTACTACGGCCCGTGCCAGGCTCTCCCATGCCAGCCCGCTCACCTGGCATCGCAGTCGCAGTGCGAGATGGTGTGCAGGCGGTAGTTGCGGATGCCGTAGTTGTACTCCAGGGCAGAGAGCTGCTCTGCGCATTGGTCGTGTTCCCGGCAGCACAAGTCTGGGCCCTGGAAGATTCCTGCAGGGAAGGGGTGGGTGGCTCAGGGGGACTGGCGCAGCATTGCCCAGCAAAGCAAAGCAACAGCCTGCAGAGGCCGCAGCACCCTCGCTGCTGCCCCCTGTGAGCGATGGGTGGGGCACCTATTGGCAGTGCAGGAGGGGACCTGCAGGGTGGGTTATTGTCACACACACTGGCCACGATCCCCAGGAGGGAAGAGCACCCAACTCAGGCTGGACATGCAGGGGCGGTGGCTCTGTGCTGGCTGAAGGTCTGGCCCCATTAGGGTATCTCTAGGGCCTCCCTCAGTAGCCTGTGGAATGTCCTGGCCCCATGGGGCACCTTGGCCCACTGACACCATGCTCAGGAATGCAGCAGCCTCGAATCAGCTCCCGCAGATACTTACACCCCTCCTGCAGGGGTCACACACAGAGGCTCGCAGGTTGGGGTGGGTGAATTCCCCAGGGAGCAGGGCCAGCCAGCCCTGGGGTCACCAGGGACCAGCCCCATCTACCAAGATGATAAAAGACACAAACTGAGGGACACTGAGCTGTCCTGGGAGCCCACCTCTCCCGGTCCCACTGGAGCCACAGCTAGGCCAGAGTCACTGACTTGCAGCAAATCCAGCCCCTTCAGCTCCTCCAGGCAGCATAGTGAGGAGACTGGGCAGCCCCACGAGGGGCTGTCTCCCTGTCCCCAGACCTGCCAGGCCCCATGGTGATTTGGGCCCAGGCGTTTGCCATAGGGTGACCACTAGGGCAAAGGCAGGAAGCTCATTTAACCCCCTTCAACTCATTCCAGCCTCTTTGGCCTTAGCTTGGGACCTGCTCTGCCCGGGGGAGCTGGGTCCCAGCTCTGCCCGGGGGAGCTGGGGGCACTGGGGATGTTGCAGCTCTTACCTAACTCGGTGAGGTTCTCTGCAGAGTCCCCAGCTCCACACCACAGCGTCCCTGGCATCGTCCAGCCCCGCCGGGTCCTCCTGCGCCCACGCTCCTCTTGGGCCAGTCCTGCCCACTTGCCCATGGGCGCTCTCCTCACCCGGGGCCTGCCAGCCCCCAAGGGCTCAGCCCTGCTGCAGGTGTTCACGTGCTGGGCCAGGCTGTCCAGGGCTTGCTGGCGCGTCGGGCTCCAGGGGCTGGCAAAGAGGCTGCTCTGCGGGCGCTTGGCACAGGACTCCTGGTACAGGCGCGTGAGCCAGGGCTCTTCCTGGATGGAGCAGGCCAGCAGGTGCCCATCCCCATCCCAGGCGCTCTGGAAGAGGGCCAGGGCGCCGGAGCGCTGGCTGAGGAAGCTCAGGTATCTGGTGCCCGCCGCCCCGGCGGTGCCCGCCGCCTCTATGTAGCAGAAGGTGTCGCTCCTGCTGAAGGACCCTGGGGACCCGCAGGCCCCCGGCTCGGCTAGAGAGATCAGCGCCCAGAGGATCGGCCACATGGTTCCCAGCCGGCGCCGGCCAGTGCGGGGAAGCGGCCAGCGCAGGGGCGCCCGGCGGGGCTGCGGGGCGCGCTGGCAGCTGGGCGCGGAGCCGGCGGACGGAGAAAGCTGAGCCCCGCGCCCTGCCCGGCTTTAAGGCGGCGCGGCAGCCGCGTGGGGTGAGGCGGCGACTCCAGCACTGGGAGGGCTGGGCCGCCGGCCGGCCGCTGATTGGGCCACGCCCGCCTCCGGCCCGGCACATGGCGGGGAGCTGCCCCGGCGGGCTCGGCGCTGCAGGCGCCGGGCCATGGCTGGGCCCGGAGAGGCGGATCCCTGCCCCCTCAGTGCTTGGGGCGGCAGCATGTGGCTTGGCCGCCGGGATCACGCACGCGGGCCCCCGCTGGTCTCCTGGCTCCTCTCCGGCGCCCGTGGGGGGGGACTCAGGTGGGCTGCCCCACGCTCAGCACAGGCAAGGAGGAGCCAGCAGGGCCCTTGGCACGGTGCCCTACCCAATGGGCCTTGCCCAGCTGCTCCTCTCTGGGTCAGGTCCCAGGGCACCTGCCGCACCAGCGCGCGGAGGCTGCGGCACCGGGCTGCGCATGGCCCCGGGCGCACAGGGCTGTGTCAGCAATTAACGGCCCCTCAGAGCCTCCGGGGAGCAGGTGCCAGACGATGCCGGAGAAGTGGGGTCAGCCAGTGGCCACTATCTGACCTTTCCCTAGCCCCGTCTGTCTCTCAGCTTCCTGGCGTACTTTGCAAGTTACCCCCTTCACCAGCACTGGGGTGCAGTCACCTCTAGGGTGCACCGTGGCAGCTGCTGGACAGCACACAGCAACGCCCCAGCGCGGGAGAGCAGGAAGGGAAGAGGAGTCCCGTGGGCAGGTGAGTGGAGGAGGAGGGGAGATAAGGAGGCAGGATGCAATGGCTGCCGTTAGCACAGGGAGAGTTGTCTAGTGTGGTGAGAACATGGACTTGCCATCAGACTGGGCGGCTGTGCTCATCGGTACCATGGGCTCTGTATGACGGGCAGGCCCCTCTCCGTGACTCAGTGTCCCCATCTATGATATTAATAGTTGGCACTTGCGTAGCACTTTATAAAGGTGGGTCAGTGTCATCATGATACAGATGGGGAAACTGAGGCACAGAGCAGGGATGGGACTTGTCCAGGGTGACAGTGACCAGCTCTCTAGCTACTACAGAGCTGGGAACAAAACACAGGAGTCCTGGCTCCCAGATCACCCGCTCCCCTGTCTAAGCAGTAAATCACTAGACAAGTCCCTGCCCCAGGATTTAATTTTTTTATTTAGAAGATAAAACTTGCCTGAGTGCAAGTGACTCCAGGGAGTTCTGGGGCTCCAAGGACACCTGCTCGCAACTCCCTGCCCAGCACCTGTCTCTGCTCGTCTGGGCTGGTGGTGCAGGCATTGCATCCAGAGTGGGCAGATCGGACAGCCTGAACTTGGCATTCAAACAGTCCAAGCCCGGGACCCTGACCCTGCAGGCCTGGAGATTGTGACACACGAGTCCTTCCCTTTCCCCGGGGAGCTGAAGCTGAACAAACCCAGCCAGGGCTTTGTGAGTGCCAGCAACCTGACTCAGGGCCAGATTCACCCCTGCGCCAGTGGGAGGCAGGGGAGGTTGTGACGAAGTGGGACTGTTCTTACTGTTTCCTCTGAATGCTGTAGGGGTGCCTCAGTTTCCCCTATGGATTTCTTAAGTCTCTAGGTGGTGGGATGAGGGGGTGTCATTGTTGCAGAGCAAAGGGCCCTCCAACAATAACAATAAATGGCCAACACTCTGTCTCCTGGCAACTGATGGCCTGGGCCCTTCCGCCCTGCAAGGTGAGAGCTAAAGGGTTGGAGAACGAAGGAATCCGGTGACCTCCTGGCCCGGGAAATGGAAAAGCCCAGAGGAGGAGGGGCTGGAGGGGGAGTCAGTTTGGGGCCGGCTGGGGACATGGAGTGAAGTGCAGACATGGTTGACTGGCTCACTCCCACCCAAAATGGACCCGGTTGAGGGATCCTGTTCTCTGTACCTACAAGCTTTGTTTTAGACCGTGTTCCTGTCATCTATTAAACCTCTGTTTTACTGGCTGGCTAAGAGTCATGTCTGACTGCGATGTTGAGGTGCAGGACCCTCTGGCTTTGCATGGGCGGACTCGCTGTGGGAGGCGCACGGAGGGGCAGAGGATGCTGAATGCTCTGAAGTCAGACCCAGGAAGGTGGAAGCCGTGTGAGCTTCTTGCCCTGAAAACAGTCTGCTCACAGAAAGGAGGCTTCACCAGAGTCCTGACTGGCTTCGTAGGGAGCAGTTGCAGAGCATCGCCCGGGGACTCCATGACAACTGGAGGTGGCTTGGGCCTCCCTTGTTCTGGGGCACATGAGGCAGGATCACCGATGTGCCAGCCCTGCCCATGCCCTGTGCCAGGGTCTGCAACTCCTAGGGTGCCTTTGTGCCAGGGTATTCCTTGGAGGGGGCTGACACCTGCCCTAGGATCCCCTTCCTCAGCATAGCCAGCACAATGGAGCTGTAGGGCTGGGAGCAATCCTGATCCTCCCTCACCGCCCCCATGGGAATGCAGATGTCCCTGATTCCCCCACGCCCTGCACAAAACTGGGGTAGGAGGGTGAGTGGCCCCTGCAGGAGAGGCTGGAGAAGCAGCTGGGACAAGGGGGAGCTTGGGACCAGCATTTGTTTCCCCCTCCCTTTTCTGCCCACACCCCCAGCAACCTCCCCTTGCCGCTGCCTCCTCCTGGCTGCTCCTTCCCTGCTGGGATGCAGCAGGGGGGCTGTGACTGGGGAGGCAGAGGGGCACCTGGCTGCCTACAGAGCCCCACACCACCCCAAGTGGCCATAAGGAGCCACTGGAAGATCATCCCTTCAGCCCAGCCATGTGTGAGGATCCAACCAGGCTGTGGGGAGATGGGAGAGCCGGGAGGGGCTCTGCCAGGTGCCAGAGTGTCCCATGAGATGCTGGATATTTAGCTTCTGCAAAATGAGCTCAGATTCTTGCCGCCTCCCCTGCTCAGAGAGGGGTGGGTTTAAGCCTACCTCTGCTTCCCATTCCTCTGGAGCAGCCTGTGCTGTCAGTGGAAGGACTTTTATAGGGAAAACAGCAACAAGAAAGACCAAAAGCAAAGTCCTCAGGGGAGAGAGAGCGCGGTGTGTGCTCTCCCTGCAGGTGGGCCGACTCTTTGAAGTTTAAAAGTGCAGTACAGAGAAAATGAAGCTTGTTGCAGAAATACAAGTGCCAGAACTTCTTCATGAGTAACCTTCCTGGTCTTATTCTCTCATTGCTTGCAGAGCCTTGGGGCTTCTTTATGTGAGGAAGCTGGCACCAATAGCCTGCACTCTGTTCCAAAGGAGAAATTGCTTTATTCCAGAACAGTTCGTGTGCTTGGGCACAGAGCTCGCTGGAGGGGCAGACATGAGGATTTCTGAGCAAGGAAGCTGCCTGCTGGTGTTTGCTCCTACTGGGTTCAGGGCAGTGGGACCTTGTGCACATTCTTTGTAAATAAAGAGGAGTGTACAAAGAATAGACTTTTCTCATCTCACCAATTCCTCATCCTAATAGAAACAACCTGGCAAGACCCTGAATATTGGTGAACGGCTTGGGTCAAAGGGGCAATAGTATGGAGTGTTCTGCTGTGGGACAAAGAGATGGATCTGTGTTCAACAGGAGCTAATGCCCAGTTGGGCTGAATGAGATGAGCTCTGTGGGACATGCATTCAGGGCAAAGGAGCGTGACCAGTCCCAAGAGAGCAGGAGACAGCTGTACAAATGGAAAGTACTCGGAATAAGGAGATGTGACAAAGTGGGAATTTTCGGTAATATTTGTATGAACTCTTTGTGTACCTCGGTTTCCCCCATACTCTGCATTGTTACCCAGTTGGGGAAAAAGGATTAAGTTGACAGGTGTAGAGACTAAGGCCATGTTTACACTATGGACCTTACAGCAGCACAGCTGTACCAATGCCGCTGCACCGCTGTAAGATCTCCCGTGTAGCCGCTCCGTGCCGACAGGAGAGGGCTCTCCTGGTGACATTATTAAACCACCCCCAGTGAGCGGCGGTAGCTACGTTGAGGAGAGCAGCTTTCCTGCCGACAGAGCACTGTGCACGCTGCTGCTTATGCTGGCGAAACTTATGTCACTCAGGGTGCTGTTTATTCACTCCCCTGGGTGACGCAAGTTTTGCCGAAAGAAGTGGTAGAATAGACATGGCCGTAGTGTGTGAGTGTTGCCTCGCTGTCTGAGGGGACTGAATAAGAACATAAAAACATAAGAACGGCCACACTGGGTCAGACCAAAGGTCCATCTAGCCCAGTATCCTGTCTTCCGACAGTGGCCAATGCCAGGTGCCCCAGAGGGAACGAACAGAACACGTAATCATCAAATGATCCATCCCCTGTCGCCCATTCCCAGCTTTTGGCAAACAGATGCTAGGGACACCATCCCTGCCCATCCTGGCTAATGGATGGACCTATCCTCCATGAACTTATCTAGTTCTTTTTTGAACCCTGTTATAGTCTTGGCCTTCACAACATCCTCTGGCTAGGAGTTCCACAGGTTGACTGTGCGTTGTGTGAAGAAATACTTCCTTTTGTTTGTTTTAAACCTGCTGCCTACTAATTTCATTTGGCGACCCCTAGTTCTGGTGTTATCAGAAGGAGTAAATAACACTTCCTTATTTACTTTCTCCACACCATGGGTTATTAAAAAGGACTGGCCTAGGCCAACCGATATCTGTGGAAAATCCGAGAAGACAATGGAAAACCCAGTCACCAGGACACTAAGACCTAGCAACCAGTGACCCAGTGGGGTGAGGATTTCCCCATCTCTCATTAGGAAAGCTGAGCGGAAACCCCAGCTTGAGAACAAAGGACTGTCCTGTCGTTGCTTACAGACAGCCCCCCAACCAGAAGCAAATACTCACCAGCAACCACACAACAAAAACACTAACCCAGGAACCTATCCTTGCAACAAAGCCCGTTGTCAGCTTTGTCCACATATCTATTCAGGGGACACCATCATAGGGCCTAATCACATCAGCCACACTATCAGAGGCTCATTCACCTGCATATCTA